TCACAGCCACCTCTGCACCCTGAATACTGAATTAGCCTGACCCTTTCATGGCTTACTGCTCGCACACCCTCCAAGCCTGGCCACCGACAACATAGACTTGTGCCATTTGATGCAGCTGTTGTGATTTGAACGAACCTCATTTATACGTGCCCGGCGCTGGCCTGACCTGGAGGCGTCTGCTCCCATGCATTAATCTCTGTGCTAATCCCCCTGGAACGTCCGCACTGAGAATTGTACCCGAACTCGTGGATTTGTGCCTCTTAAGTCTGACTTTGTGCATTGGTGCCAGCTACTGAAGCACAGTGAAATCTGGTCCAACCAACCAGTCACGCACCCAGGGGAACAGAAAAGCCCAGTCCTGGAGATTAAAATCTACCAGGCAAGTGAGTTTTCTGAGCCAAGGCTGTTAATCAGAGCTTGGGCTGGGGGGACTGGGAGGCTTTCAGGGATCCTGGAGCAGGATGTTCCAATCCCTGAGACGCCCCCAGCGATGGTTTCACTGTACTTCTGTCCCCACGAAGGACGGCAGGGCTGGGTCGGTCGGTCTCTTTGTTCTGTAGTATTCTCTTGGTGCGTTTGTTCTACAAGCAACCACAGCTGAAGACAGTGGCAGGGTAAGGAGCTCGTCCAAGCATCTGAAGAAAGGCTGAAGCGCTCGATCCCTCAGCTGGGAAGTCGGATGGGCCCTGTACCGGCCGATGGGATGCATAATTCATCCGGAAGAGAAGCTTTAGTGCAGTCAGCGCTCAGACTTGGGTGACGCAGTGAGAGACGGGCCTGATCCTGCCTGCACTATACCCCACCTCACCCCCTCCCGGGATTTGTGGTGGAAGGACCGTAAGCATCTGATTTTTGCCCACGTATAAGCCCCGCACTGTCTTCTTTTATCTACATCCTTCCTTTTGGTGCACTTGATTCAGTCGGTGAGAGGTCCCTTCCTATGATGCAGCGATCCGTGTAACTGCCAACAGTTGACGTTGCATCCTTCCCACGTATCGGCTTCTGAGACAGCTCATACAGCAGCACAGCGTACTAACGTGAAGGGGAATAGGGAACAATTAGAAATTCAGCACTTTTGTTAGACCTAATTTGTAGACTTTTTTTTTTTTTTGTAAAGGTATTTTTATATGGTTTTTGTTTTAATTTGGAAGAAACCCCCCCAAGTTTTATATTATGATCCTCATTAAAATGTGTTTTAACCCTGTGTTCGCCTGCTGGAGTTTATATTGGGCAATTGGCACTAGAGTCTGTGTTGCAATGGGCTGATGCTTCTAATAACAACAGGCTGTAGCCTGCAACCCCTCCCGTCACTAACTCTGCGGAAAGGACGCACTACAAAAGGCGTCGGCAGGGTCTGCGCAGTTCCCATCTCGCTTTGTTAAGGTGTTTGGTATAAGAGCGGGTCTGGCTGCAGCCTACGCCGGCGCTCACGGTGTCTCTAAGCGATGTGCGCTCTCGGGCGGGCTGCACCTTCTGGGAGGGGATGGTCTCAGTGAATTAAATTCCCTAGGAACGGTGTGTTGGTGTCTTTGGTGCTCACTGGTGGGCATGGTGTTTCCTCCTGGATGTTGGCACTTGGGAAACCTGCAACGCTCGCTCCTGTGGCTGGACGAGGAGTGTGATCTCCCGAAGTGGGGAGATGCAACAACGTTTTGTGGCTTGTTCCCAATGTCTAGTCCCAGAGGAAGGCTGCGAGTGGCACCGTTTCGCTGCTGCTTCTTAAGGGCTAGATTTCCTCCCGTTTCTTTCGTTGCTCAGGCCCGAGTGGGTTCGGGTTAAGTTGCAGGAGAACTGGCTCAGCTGAGGCATCCGGGGCATTCCTCGATGGGGTGCTTGGACTAGCCAGGCCCAGCTCTGCCAGGGTGACCTTGGCCAAGCTCTCTAATCTGCCCAGCACCCGAGGCTGGAACAGGGTGAATCACTGCAATCCCAGCTCCGGGGCCTTGGCAGTTCCCTCGCTTCTCTCCTTCCAGACACGGGGGCAGTGGTTCTCAACCTTTAGACTTGAGGGCCCCTCCTTTGCCTTTGGGAATGGCGCAGCCCCCCCATCTCAAAGATGAATTTATTATAGGGCTGACCTTGAAGACGGGAGGGGGCACAGCCAGGCTGGGGGAGCCTGAGCCTGCCCTTTTCAGCTTCTCATGGCAGTCGCTGGCCGGCAGGTGCTGTGAAGGGAAAGCAGGCAGTTTTCAGTGGCAGGAGGAGGTGTTTTCTCTTTATAGAGATGCACAAGTGGAGGTGCCGAATGGTAAATGGCCTGGGCCGTTAATCACTGGCAGAGGGCAAGAGGCAAATGTTTCAAAAGCTACAATCTAGATCAGGGGTTCTCAACCCTTTCAGAGCCGAGGCACCGCTAGGTGGGCTCCAGGCAGTCCTTGGAAAATGCCATCTCTTACTCTTCACTTGTTTTTTGACCGCAGTAGAAATAATAGAGACATTCTTCTGTTGCACAGAACTTGGGAAGACCACGGCAGGGCCGAGCAGGTTTGACATTGCGGAGTCTGATGTGAAATCTCTGGGTTTGCAACCCTAGCAGTGTCAACATAGCATGGCACCCTGTGGCACCCTCAAAAGTCTATCAAGATGCCCCATAGCATGGCACTCTGGCTGGGAATCACTCAACTAGATAATGGCTGAAGTGAATGTTTTTCCCCTCTGTACTGCTACTGTCTCTTCTACCAAACAGCCACCTGTTTAGGCCAGGTAACGAGTGAGAGCTGGGTCTGAGTGGAAATATCCATCGTCAATAGTTCATTTAAGTGCCTCAACCAAATAAAACATCATCTCTTCTTAAGAGCTGCTGGTTAGAAATCAGGCCACTCGGGTACCGCAACACATTTGAATGCCTAAATGTAGACACCTGAGTTTGAATCTGTGTGGACTGAAGTGTTCTTGAAACAACTTTGGTATAGACAGAGCTGAAGCGATGTTGCTGCTGGGATGGTCCAGGAAGCAGACGAGAGGCAAGAATTGTTGGGGGTGGTATCAACCGTGCAGTTGGTCCAATAAAAGAGATCATCACCTACAAGGGTATACACACTGATTTAGCAACTGGTGAGGGAGAATTGGCTCAAACAACCTGAGTGATCTGTCACAGTGCCCTGGTGGAAGTGCTTAGAGCAGTGGGTCTCAACCTTGCTAGCCTCAAAGCACCCCTCTAGCCTCGTCACCCCTCAGAAAATGCCAGCTCTTGGCTTTCGCTCATTTTTACTGCAGAAAAATAATAAAGCAATTCTTCTGTTGCAAAGAACTCGGGTCAGGGTGTTTTTGACGCTCTGGATTCCTGTTTGAAATCTGAATGTATCTTATGAATCAGGTGCGGGTGTTTGCACCCCTAATATTGGTAACATTGCATGGCACCCCAGGACACCCTTAAAAGGATCTTGTGGCACCCTGGATGAGAATCACTGACTTAAAGGCACTTTTTTGTCCAGGCACACATGCTTGTTGGACTTCTCCCTCACTAAGATGGTGGCATTCTTGTCTACGCAGACAGTTCCTCCGCAGACAAAAAACACGAGTTGTTATTTGAAATGAACATCAGCTTCCAAAGAACGGGGGGCAGTCATTTCACGTGGCCCCAGTGGTCTCTGCCAGTCGGACAGACGGTTTGTATTAAAGCTGTAACGTAGCGTTAATTCAATTTTAAATTCTGCCTGTTCTTGAAGACGGCCAAATTAGCACTTCCTGGTCCTGTGCAATATCAGCCATGTTCCAGCTTTCTGTACTAGCCTTGGTGGTCGTATCCTTCTCATGCAGTAGAATAAAGCTTCCCACTAAGAACCTGACGGAGCGTCTCTCCTTGGCAAGAACGGATTTCCAAGAGGAAGTTCATTGCGTGGAAGCCCGTAGCGTGCGCACTCGTGCCTCCGGGTGCTTGGGAGGGGCAGCAGGAAGCTTAGACAAATGTTTGGACACAAGCAACTTCCTGATGTCGGTCGAGGCTCTGAGCTCATGCCCTGAAGAGCAGTCCAGAGATGCCAACCCAGCAAGTCGTGATTTGTACGTGAATTGTCAATTAAATCACACGCTTGACACCCATTTGGAAGCTTCCATTTGTGCTGGGGGAGGAGATGGGGTTGCAGAGAACGCGAGGCGCTATTGTGAGTGGAAGAGAACACCAGTGGTCCTTTGCCCTGATAAATTGCTGCCCCTTTGTGCTTTGTCCTAGTTGCAGCATTATGACGCTCTTATGAAAACCAAGGTGACCACACTTTTTTGAAAGTGCAAGGGGAGTGAGACTATAGGACACCAGCTCAGAGAGAAAGGCAGCTGCTTCTGCTGTGGAAACTCAGTGAGGTTAGGCCTTGTCCGATTGGAAATGCCTGGCAACTAGCTGTTTGAAGATATCCTGTGGCCCTTTTATGTTCCATAAAGACAATAGTGCCGTATGAATCTAATTTCTCAAGATGGCTCAAAGGACGGCACTTGTTTAAGGAATGCACTGCGACTGGGAAGAATGTCCTAGATCCAACCGTGATCAAACCTCCTCTGAGGCTGCAGCTGCTATTCCTGCGTCCTTTCGTGCAGCGGCTCGCAGACTTCCTGGACTAACAGACTGTGGTCAAAGCTTTAAGATTTCTTGTGGACCACAATGCACCCTTTCAACTGAAGAGGTATGGGGGAAAGTTGTGATCTGCAGACAGGCTGTGGCCCACTTAATGGGTGTTTGCAGACCCCTCCTTTGGGCCTCCCTGCTTTCACGAAGTCAGTGGTTACTGGTGACATTTCTGAGGAGGGAGGATTGCGGGTGTTGAACAAGAAAGGGGGGAAGTAAAACAAAAGGTTTTCAGAGACTTAGCTGGAGGTAACTCTAGTGTCATGATGTAGAAGTGAATTGTCAGACGGAGTGGAGGAGAGGAGATGCCGCGTGGGGAGTTATTAAACATCTGAGAGAGGGAACAGACTGTTTGGAAGGGAAAGATTTGCTTGACTCTCCCCGCCCCCAAATAAATCACTGTACAGATTTGGTACAGCAGCTGAATCAGATTTTCTGTTCCTTTTAGAGATATAAACTGTTTTAATGTTATATTTAGTACTGGTCATTTTATAAATGTGTAGCTTAAAAAGTAAAGGCCTTCAAAGACATTTCTCACCCCAGCATTTCGGAACAAACAGTTTTAAGGAACTCTGCATACAGCAACATAGAACATTCTAGTGATATGGTATGTGAATTTACAACCATTACACGATACACATGTATATAATAAAATACCAGAAATTAAGGCTACCTATAAAGTCATTTTAGAGTAAATTTTACTTATCAAAAAGTTACAAAACTGAAATCAAAACATGCATTTTCCAACTGCCTTTACTGTGCCACAAATTTAAACAGTCTGCATTGCCTAGGTAAAGGCTCGGCCTTCAAGGATTTCAGCATCCAAGAGTTCAACCAAACCTGGTCAAAGATCTATATTAATTTATAACCTGCTCATTCACATGCATGGACACTGTTCCCATGATATGAACATTATATGATGTTCACCAGTCTCACATTTAATGCAAGCTAGCAAAATAAAACAAGAAATGTTTACACGGGGATACCCAAAGAGACTAAAGGATCAGGCCTCCAATAACAGAAAGCAAACGTTATTTTACAAATTTAACTTTGGCATACCAAAGTACAGTTCATAATACTGTCTTGATATGACACAAGCTGTAACCCTCGACTCCCAGGAGTGCGCTACAAGTGAACTTGTCTTTAATACGTTTCCCACCTGCTACATGATAAACTTTCATGATCTTTTTCAACTGTGTATCAGTCAAGTAAATAACTTAAAGTCCACCTATGAACTTGGAAACAAAACCCTATCAAGTTAGCTTACTACATGGCAAAACAAAAAAACCCAGCCTCTTAAAAGTAGTTTTTCTACATATTTAACTTAAATCCTTCTTTAAAATAAACTGACTGAAACAAAAAATGTCAGGACTAACATTTCTAGTCAGATCAGATTTCATCAATTCTTAGTTTATAAATGTAACCGGCCCCTCTCCACTTCTCCGGCGGAGCTTTGGTAAGAACAGAAGTATCCATCTGCCCGGTCTAAGCACTGCTAGAGAAACCAGGTGCATTTTGCACGTTACCTTGTGAAATACGTTCAACAGCTTTCCTGTTTTTCAGTAGCTAGAACTAGACACCTCTAGCTTGTGAGCAACGTAACAAGCTGTGCATTTCAAAGTTAGCAGTTTTTTCACCTTTACATATTTTAGTGCAAAATATTTTAGGGTGAGGACTTATGACAAAAAATGGCAGTAGCAGCAAGAATGATTTTGTACAGTAACATATGCTGAGGATGGTTTGTAATAACGACACAGACTATTCCTATTGCAAATAGTAATATATTGAAGTGTTTCAGGCACTGGATTCATGAAACTAGCACCCCATTTCATCATGAATTTGATGGATAAAACATGGAATGGAGGTTTGGTTGCTTTAGTTATATGCCAGAAGTTTTAAAGAAAATTAAAGGCATCTGCTGTTACTCATTATCTTTAAGCATAAGTCTTTTTTCCTGCTTGAACCATGTGTTTGAAGAACTAATTTCTCCCTCAATTCTGAGTGACTTGTTCAACAACACAAAACTCTTAACGGCACAGTTTCAGTTGTGGAGAAATCAGTCAAAAACAGTAGCATGTCTTTATTTAAATGCTAATCTGAATAACCATTTTGGGGGGATTATATCTAATATGTTAGTCTTATTTTCTTAGCTTCAATATAGAAGACCACATACTTTCTCAGATTCAAATACAAAAACTCCGTTTGTTCTTGAAACATCTGAAGGACATCGCTTTACCATGACAAACCAATGTCTGTTCTTCTATTTAGTTTTCTCCCAGTCAGAAAAAGAAAAATCTTGATAATGACACGGATTGTCTCCACTGAAAGCTACAAGCATCGAGGTCCTTTGATGTAGGCTGCAGATTCTGTCATGATAGAAGATGAAGATATGCAAATTCCCAACGTAAAAAACCTACACAGGCCCCCAAAGTTATGATCCAGTGGAGTGGAGGCTGGGGATCGGGTAGAATTTTGAAATGCGGCTCTGTGTCGACGGGTTAAGGCATTCAGATTCTCCAGTCATTTTGAAGAAAACTTCCTGTTCTTGGAGTTTCCTGGCAAATTCCTCTTCCAGTGTCTGAAAACAATCAGCAGAACAGATTGACACAGGAATACATGGTGAAAGACAAAGAAGCCTCCTCTCCTGATGACTTATCTTATCTGCCTCAGATTCCTGCAATGCCACGGAAAATGAGGCAGTAATATCGAGGTGGGAGGGATGCTAACCTAGACCCCCAGCCTAGGAAAGAAAATGTCCTGTGTGTAGACGTCTCCATATTTATTAATTTCTGCTTGACAAACGCACCCTACATCTTACAAGACTATTAACTCTTCGAGATAGTTCGACTACTGTTGTGTCAAACATCTCATACTTGCTAACAGTTCTCCGAAGTGTTCAGGTTTATTGACCTTGCTCTGTCTGTTTAGTAACAGCACTCTTGTCTACAGTGATCCCCTTTGTCCCTCTCTCACGCTCGGAGAGAAGGTACGCAGAAGTAGACCGCTGGCAAGCCTACTTTTTGTATGTGTTCAGTCTGTGTGTGTCTAAAGCAGGTCCTATTCAGGATGCTGGCTTCCTGCATTTTTGCACGGTATTCTAACACTGTTGGTCCAGGGCATTTTTTAGTCTCATCCAATCTGTGACTAGCCAGTTTCAAAATGTGCCGAATGATCTTCTGGCCTTGCAGTTTCCTTATAACCTGTTCTGATTACCTTTTTCCTTGGTCGCAGTTTCTCTCTCCATTCCTTCAGTTCCAGGCTGTGCTCTTCATCTAACTCTTTTAGTTTCTGAGTCTCGTGCTCAACCAGTAGATGGCATTTTTCATTCTGAAAACAAGACAACATAATCCTTAAGTAAAACTAATTCAGATTAGACAATTAACCATTTGTACAGTAACATATGTTGTCCTAATTCTTTTTAATTAGCTTACACTGCATAATGGTGGCATAAATTATGACACAGTAATACAGTCTGACTAATGCACTTGTATCAAAAGCTGGTATTTCCAACAGAACCAGTGGTTCTGAGTTATTAAGTGTGGTGCAGTCAGATACACTACGACGCACGCTTCATACATGCAGATAACACGGCACTCAAGCGGATACATGTGTCATTCTGCGTCGGGCAGTGCATCTCTTTTCTGAAGTTTGTTGCTAGGATTGAATTAAAAGGTTCTTTAGTTTGGAAGCAGGTTTCCAAATGTTCTACCCCTTGATTCCAGGAACAGAGACCAATCGATTTTGAGGAAGGTGTGGCAGGGGCAAGGGACGTGTGTGGAAGCAGATGCAGAAGCACCACCATAAAAAGGAAATAGACAATTCAGACACAGAGGAACTTCAGGTCTCACTTCGGCAAGATATTCACGGATGCACCTAAGTATAAACCGTGCAAAGGCCTAATACTTCCAGAAATGTGGGCCTACTTGCTCAGGTGCCTTGCTATAGCAAACCTCTGATTTTTTTAAAAGCAGTTACACTGAGGCTGTCTATGCTGTCAGGACTCTTTGTCTTAGAGCTCAGTCCTAAGCCCTCAGGGTAGGCACTGATGAACTGTGAACAAAAATGGCTGGTGGTTTTCCTCTAAATCTTGAGGCCAGCTAGCAACCCTATTATGCCCAGAGCATATTTCATTTCTCTGATTTCTACAGGTAGATGTGCCCTTCCCCATCATCAACTGTTCCAGCACTTAGAGTTCCTGAGGCACGTGTGGGATAGTCATGCCCACCTTAATGAGGTGCTGGGAAAGTCAGTGGTGTAGAGCCCCTAGACCAGGCTCTGGGCTGCTGGAGGCCTTGCTGGTGCAACAAGATGCACAAGCTGGTTGCTTCATGTTGGCTTTTAGTTTGCCTTCTGTTACTGAGGCAGGGGAAAGCAAACTGAATGGAGAGCAGGTTCTAGTTTGCAGCTTGCAACAGCTGATTTTACATATCCAGGCCTAGAGGACTAAGACTGAGGTTCTTTAATACATAAAGTTTACAGGTACCTGGAAACACATCCCAGGAGCTCAGGTGCAATAAGCAGCCTGTGCTTTGAGAGACAGATTTGAGTGCCCGCTGGGTATCTGCTTTCATAATGTCCAGTGCAATTGTGAATTCAATTAACAGAGGATGGTGTTGCCTAGCTCTGTTTTGAACACTACTTTCTTTTTAAACTAAGTACATTAAAAAGCAATATTGCCAAAGGAAAGTAACCGTGAAGCCACAGCTTGGCAAACACTTTGAAAGTCAACATCCCTTTACAGCTCATATTCTTTTTGTCTTTGAATCTATTTGCCATTATGCATATGACGCTGGAGTATGGTATAGCACACTCCTTGAAAGAAATCTTTTAAATGTCTATACTGATAGATTATTAGAAAAGGATAAAAAAAACACTTTTAAAACCTTTTCCTAATCAACACACAGACTCTGGCCTCGTACAGACATTTTCTCTTGAGAGAGTCACTGCTCTTCCAGGAGAAACCATGGATGCACAGATGTTCAGGTTTTTTCTCTGATGGTAATAATGTCCACTCCATGGGAAAAATAACCTGGGAATAACCAGCCTTAAATCACTCCCTAGAGAGTTCCTTTTGGAAGACTGAATGTCTGTACATGCTGTCTGCTTGGGCAGGTTGTATATTTATTAACTTGACTCATTTCACAGACTGCTTATTTTACACCCTGTGCTTTAACCTGCAATTGGTGCAGTTCTCTGATGTTTGCTTCGCACTGGAGCTGAAGGTCCCGCATTTGATTTTCATGCTTTTGGTGCTGAGCCAACCTCTCGTTCTTCTGCCTCTTTTCTTCTTGACCCGCAAACTGAAATTAAAAGCAAAGAGTGGCTCGTACTGCATCTGTGCAAATATATCTTACAAATGGTTACAAAAAGTTGTAAGGTACATTTTGGATTGACAATGTAATCAGACAGAACAGCCTTGTGAGATTAAAATCATCACTTTCTGAATTCTGCCCTCTAACTCTCCTCCAGGAATACCCTCTGAAGTCTCAGCTGTCAGACTGCTACTCTGGCTTCATTCATGCACTCCTTAAAGCTTATCACTTTCATGAGACCTACTGCATGCGTGTCAGTATACCTACGATGTAAATCAGCAGTGTTCTGCCCTTCTGATTTGCACTAGCTGGGAATCTGGCTCTGTTTAAAATCTGACTTTATGGTTGTAATCCTTGTCTTTGCTTATCTCATCTCCTTTCTGGGCTTTCTTTTGAGCACTTGTTCTGTAAGGCCCTGATCCTGCAAAGCTTTGTACGTGCTTTACTCTGCATATTGGCTAGACTTCAGTGGGACCAACTCCCATAGATAAAGTCCATGCCGCATTTAAGGATTTGCAGAACAGAGCTTAACATGATATGGCGTTCTTTCCAGGGCAGAACCTGTATCGTACTACTTGTACTGCTGAGGCCCCAGTCATTTTGGAGAGTGTCTAAAAAGAGCCATCATTCCTGTGCAAGATTTTGAAGGTATAGATCAGGGGTGCTCAACCCTGGCCCACTGGCCAGTTCCAGCCTGCAGAGCCCATGGGGCTCCCCAAGGTCCAGGAATTTCGCAGCTGGGGAGTGGTGGCAGTGTTACCTCCTACTCGTTTGCTGCCAAATTTCTGGACCTGTGAGGAGCCTTGTGAACTGCATAATGTGCCCTGCATGCCAGACTATGCCAGCATGCGGCCGGATCCAGGCAAAGCACAGTGGGCTGGCATGCAGGGTCCCAATCCATGCAGGATCTGGCCCATAGACTGACTTTGTGCCACTCATCCAGCTCATAGGGCCGGAAGGCCAGGTGCCACTGATACAGATCACTGAATAAAAAATAGGCCGTAAAAAGATGAAAACGTTTTTAGTGTCTCTGATTATACTCAGCTGGAAGAGGGAAAAATAGGTATTTGGAGTTATCTGATCCATAGCACGCGAGACAGCTAACTTCTTATATACATGCAAGGATTGGAACATTAGAAACCATGACGGCACGCTGAATTAATTTGTGCAAATGCTTTTTATATGCAAGTGAATTGGTTGCTCTAGGTCAATCCAACATATGGAGCAATCAACTCTCTATGGCTTCAAACATGCATACTTCAGCAGGGCCATCCAATTTTGAAGAGGACCGGCTGATGCTCACCTGAAAGGTCACTGAACAACAGCACTGCTAAATCTGTTGGGAAAGGTTAATACTAAGCAACATGACGCCCATGAATGCTGAGGCTGAATATTCAGTTTTCAGAGTTCCCTTTCCTTGATCATGGTTACTTAAAATACCAACTTCAAACTCTCATGTAAACTGTACAGCTAATACGCCTCCGTCCATTTTAGAACACAACTCAATACTTATTGTGCTTCAAAGCTTCATTTGACTCTGGTACTTTCAGACATTTTAAACTGACAGTCTTATATTTATCAATCACCTGCTTAATCTTATCACGATCCTGGTCTGGAGTAGCTGAGGAGTTAATTCTTAAACTTTTCTTAAACATGGCCATTCGAGTCTTTGCTTCACTGCGCTGGATCTTAGGCAGTCTTGCTCTTTCCTGAGTTTGTTTATTTTTTAACTCTTCAATAAGTCGCTGGTTATATCTTTGCATTTGTTCTGTTTCCTAAAATTTTTAAACATGATAAGTCGCATATTATACAACAAACATAATATGTTTAAAATGTTAGGCCTCCATTTAGCACAACACTGAAGCAGTAAGTCCACTGTTTAGGAGTCCAAAGCCCAGTGAAGTCAGTGAGAGTTTGTCAGTTGATTCAAAAGGTCTTTAAAACAGATGCCAGTCTTGCGAAGTCAAGCATATTCAGCAAAGTCTTTGGAGTATAAAGATAAACGTAAGCAAATGCTTCAGTGTTAAGTTAAATTGTGACCTTAGAATTACGGTACGTATATATTTTTTTTAAATTTCTTTACCCATGTTAAAAATTATACCTTGCATTATGAAAACGGAACAACTTCAGTGTAATGACTTTGGACGTAAGCTGCTAGGCTAGAGGGGTGCAACCTCTGGGCAGTATCACTTTCAGGTTCTCTTGGACTAACAGGGCTGGAATGTTTGGGCTCCGAATATTGCGGGGAACTGTTTGTTTAGAGCAACTTCTGCTATTAGAGCAGAAAAAATAAAAAACGGAATTCTTTCACTTAGTCTTGGATTTTAGCTTGTTTTTACAGAACTTAACTTTGACTGGACTGAAAATGATCTAATTAACAGTGCTTATTTGTGAAAAATCTAGCTCATTTTAGGATGCTTGTAATATGAAAAATAACATGAAGGTTAACTACCAAATAGACTAAACGCCTCAATGTACTGATTCGGAAGAAAGACTGATATAGCGGGAAGGTAGCGGCATGAACTTAGAGGAGTAAAGTGGTGGTGCAGGCCAGACCATTTAATAAACCACTGGAGGTTACAGTAACACAAAGCAAAGTGACACTAACTTTCTCATGTCTTTTAAGGAGCTGGTGCCTTTGCATGAAGTACTGATCTTTGAGTTGCTGTTTGAGAAGCTGGTGTTTTTCCTGCAAGTGTCGCTCTTCCAGCTCCCAGATTGCAGCTTCACGAGCTGGAGGAAGACGAAGGCTGTTTAGAAAGGGCTAAACAATGCTGTCGTATTTACCCAAATATAAAGGTAAAAAAAATAGATTGCAAAGGCATTTTAATACAGTAACACCTCATATCAAAGATAAGGTTTTTAACTACAGTCTCACTTTTAACTCTGGATGACCTTCATTTCACAGATTTAAATAAAACTTTTAATATTTCCTTACATGTCTTGTTACATATAAAAACAAAATAATCCAGTTTTCAGAAAGAGAAATTTGAGAACTGATACCTCTCATGAGTTGCTGCTTGTTATTCAGGCATTCACGCTCAATATTGGCTAGCTCTGTTTTTTGCTGCTGAATGATTTTCTTTAGAGATGCATCCAATTCTTGTTGCTGCTTCTGCACAAATTCTTGTTCCTGTTAGAAACCAATGAAAACAAATGAAGTTGCTGTTCTTCTATGGCACGTTACGTTTTAATCAGAGTCCCAGAACAACTTTTCTATGTTCCTTTGGCCACTAATCAAACCAAGCACATTTATGAAAATCTGGGTTAAAATACATCTCATAAAATGATTCACTCTTTGTGCTCTGCACAAGAAGAGAAAGGACAAAAGAACATGTAAAACATAACAAGACTCTTAGAAATGAGACCAAAAGCAACAAAGTAATTATCATCTGAAATTCATTCCAGGTCCCCCCACACAGCACAAGCTGCAAGACTAGGACTACCCGCTGTCATAACAGCCTCTTGCACACAAACACCACAGAAAAGCTCAGACAGTCAACAGTATACTAGAGTGTCTTAGTCTTATTTATTCTGTTGTTTAGGATTATTAAGCAAAACCTATTTATGTACGCACTCTGTATGACCACTTCAGAGTTCGTCGGGGAGGGGGAGAAAAACAAAACAAGAATTACAGTTCACGATCACCTGTTTGTTCTCTACATGTGTCTTGATAAACTTTAGATGTCTACACACATGCAAGCATGCACACACGTATTTTCTTTACAAAAAGGGACAGGAAGTTTTATGTACGATCTTCCAAAGATTGTTCCTACGTTCCCATTTTAAAAAATGACCTCTGTTGGCTGGGTATAATTTGGAGGGGCATAGTTGCAACACATCTGGTATTTTCTGCAGAACGCCAAACAGAGCATAATGAAAATGGAAAACATTTCAATACCGTTTTTCCAAATTTGTTTATAAATGCAAATCTTAGAAAAACGTAACGAAGGCTCTTTAATCTTCACAGATATTTGTGTTGCTGAATTACCTTCATAAATCTATCGTAGTATTAGCTTATCCAGTATGAAAATCAATAATTAACCTTTTTCATACTCAGATTTGGAAGTGTCCTTGTTAGCGCTTATATCAAAAGAGGAAATTCATTGCCTTGGAATAATTCAAACAAAAAAAAAAGAGGCTTTTGTAGCAGCAATTCAATTTTACTGCAGTTGCAGTATCCTAGTACACTGAAGGCCTGATTCAGCAAGCATTTGAACCATTGAAGATTTCTTTTTGTTCTACTGTGACAACAGTTTTCCCGGTGAGAAACGTGAGCTTCAAATGCTATCGTCTTACTAGATAGCTCTACACAAAGTAATTGGGGATGAATGGTCCACCCCCACCCTCACTACATTGCTGACCGGAGACAGATACGCACTCAGCAAAGGAACGGAGGGTCAAGGCAGAGCGGTTATTACCAGAGCACCAAGATACAGTCAATGGAACGACTGATGACAGTGCAATGTGAAAGTCGAGTAGGGAGGCATGGGCATTTGTTTTCATATGGGAAGAAATGAAGTTGGTTTCCAGGGCAGAGAGGAGGGAGATAGTGCTGGGCTATTGGTCAAAGTAGAATAAATCCTCTGAGCCTGAGGCACAGCCTGTAATATTTCATCTAGTGATCAAATATGCTACAGAGCTCAATGATAAAGTGATGTGAAGAACAAAATGTGACACCCAGAGGCTGGTACTCTTGAGGATGTCTAAGGAGTAAAACCATGCATGTCTCTACAAAGATTCACTGAATGGTAATTCAGTCTCATGAATTACTTAGCAGTGTGCCGCTGGACTGTGAATTACCGTCTGCCATCTGGTTCTCTAGGTTTTGGGAAACTAATGAGATTTCTTGGATGTTACTCAGGAGTCAGAGCAGGCAGGACAGAGAGTAGTATATAAGACTCGAGGTGAAGCGAGTCTGTGACTAGAAAAATACAGAGTTGTGGGTATTAACACAGATGAAATGGCTGGGGCCAAAACTACAAGTACATAACATAAGAAGGACTGATGACACCTATTTTTA